TGGACGGTGCCGGTCCATTACAAAAAATACCTTTGGCAACACTTCTACAAACAGTTCCATTCGTCGTTCTTGCCTCAGAAACAATTAAATTCGGCAAGCTGCTGCCAAAGTAGATTTTTAAACCTGTTAATTCAAGAGCGTGCATTTGTTTAAAGCAAATTGGTATGTGTATTACACTAAAATCTCTTCTTTTGTGAAAAGCAGGCCAAAGTACTTCTCTTCTTTGATTGCCAAGACTTGCTTATTTACTCTTAATCAGCAAATAATTTTCTGTATGTACCTCAAGTGTGGTCCCGTGAACTGAATGCCCAATAGCAGCTGGAAAGCATCAGAGAGTTCCCTAGAGTATGTCTTCTGGCTTGTTTTTTTCCAAGAAAAATCCTGTTTGCATGCTCCGGGTCTGTTCTGCCGTATGAACCAAAGCAGGTTAGCGGGAGAAGATCCACAGATTCATTCCATCCACTCAACCAATCCAAGCTAAAACACGTAATGCAGCTGTGCCACACAGTAACACATCCTTAAGCAGAGAAGACAAGCCTGAAGTCTGGCAAGTAAATTTATGGCTACACAGCTAAATAAGTTGATTGGCTGGAGAGTTTTAAGTCTGGGCTCACAGTTAAGCATATCTGCGTTGGAATGTACTTAGTAGGCATCTTGTTTCTGAAACAAAAATTTGAAACATTGGGCCTTGGTTACTTGTTTCTGCATTTAAATAGAAATTACTAAACACCACTGCTTTGTGTTGGCTTCAGTGGGATGTGAAAGGTAAATTGCTGTAGCCTGGTACCCCCAAACACGGAGTAGAAAGCAAAACTTACAATCACCACTCAGAAAATTCCTTACTTCGTGGTGTGGTGGGACATAAAAATTCCTTCTGATGTTGAAATTCATGTTGCATGTTCTTTGTTAAATTTTGTCACTATTCTGCAATGGATTACAGCACCTGGGACTTTCTACCAAGAGTTAAAAAAAAACAAAACAACAAAACCAAACAAAAAAACCCACAAAAATAAACAAAACAAACAAACAAAAAAACCCACAAAACAAAACAAACCACCTCAGTTGTAGCACACAGGAAACATAAAAACAGTAAGTAAACCTTGTGTTATATCTCTATAGTTATCTCTCCAATGCAGGGGAAAAAAAAAAAAAAAAACAAAACAGCTGCACAAACTAGTTTTGAATCAGCAGTGATTCACTGACATTGCAAAGTCATGATTTCAAAGTAAAATCAGCTCTATAGAGAGGATTAGACACACAGAAGAAAATAATTTTGTGTTATTTCCAGGCATAAAAGGAAAATAAGCATGTAGAATAATTATACATCAATATACTGGAAGACTGGAGGAGATATTATAACCACTATAACTGTGATGTTTGGGATCTGATTATACTTTTAAAGACACCAATACATTCAAATTAATATTTCACATACACTGCAATAGTCTGAATGTTCTGTATAAAGATATTTTACTGCAGAACAATGCAGAATAATAGGAATATTCGCTCATAAGATAATTATACAAAAAGTATTAACTCAGTTTTTTACAATATCCTATTGTTGCATGTTCAGACATTACCAAGTGAGTAAATCATACCTGACACAACGAAATGGATAAGGAATGAGCAGGAATGAAAAGCAGTTTTCACAAAAACCTGTAGAAAGGATGGCTGTGGTGAGGTGCACGTGCTGTCTGCGCAGCTCCATCCCACTGCCAGTCTTAGATTCTGGCCCCTGTTCTGTGGATGAGTACTCATGAGCACAGCTGTCCACAATGTGTGTCCCTACCAGGAATACAACACTCACACACATCCTTCTCCGCACATCTCTCCTGCACACACGTGTGATGGCATTTGCTTCCATTGGAAAGATCCTGTCTGCATTCTTGCCATGTTTTAACCTGGGAACACGCTGCTCTTTCCTCCTGATGCCAGGGGACCTGAGAGCTGGAGTAAATAGATTTACTGATATGAGACACGTCTCCCTCACGTGTCAGACAGCAGTGCTATGGCATGTTTCTGACACCAGCGTTTTTGCAAAGATTGTCTCCTTGCAGAACATATGTTAGTTCAAACAGCCTCCACCTATAACTAAAACTCAACCAGTCTGCAGAACTCTAAGCTCCTTCTCTGAGCACCCAGCGCTACAAGCACTGTTTATAACATGCAGCATATGCACAGATCTTATGCTAACAGTATTCAGTGCAGCAGTTTGCCCGTCTCTTTGTAATACAGCCTTTGTTATCTTCCTTTTTGTATTTCCTACTCAACAGAAAAGCAAAATCTTTGCTTACAGCAACTGTGTGTCGGTATTCATACATATATCCTGGTAAGATGGTAAGTAAGTTAATACAGCACATACTAAAACAATCAGGTGTCTGAAGAGATCACCATCTACAACCACAAAGAGAGAAAAGTAAACTGATGCACAGAAGTGCAACAGGAAGAAAACAGAATTAAGAGAAGGAAACCACATGCAAGGGGAAATTCCTGTCAGTCAGTAGTACTATTCGATGGTGAAATAGATACACAGGCAGAGAAGCACAAACCCATTGCTCAAAAAACCCAAAATGAAACCACATGGATCACTTCATGAAAAAACGTACTCAGAAGTATGGTCAGCACAACATGAATGTCTATGATCACAATACTGAAATACACAGTTTTTATCACCTAGTGGCACACAGGTTTAAGGTTTGATGGACGGCAGAGCCAGAAGTGCCACCACTCTGTGACTCCACTCCGTGTCCTGCACCTTCTGCCATGTCCTTCAGCTGGGTCATGTCCTGCAGAACCACCTTTTGTATCAACAGCTATTAACCTCACTCTTCTCCCCAGAGCCCCCTAACACAGCCCATCATGCCACAAACCAAGCCAGCCCCTGTAGACCATGCAGCACAGCTGGGATGTGGACACCTCAGCAGAGCTCCCAGCAGTCCTGGAAACCCATAGTGTCTCTCTCCTGGGTACTTCTGTTTCCTGGGAAGGCAAAGTACTCAGGGCACATTGCTTACTGACACAAGAGGTTAGTGTCCCCAACCTCCAGATCCCTCAGGTACCTGACAAAACACCCTGGACATCTGGTGAGCCAACCATCTCCCGAGCAGCTGTCCCCACTACAGTCAGCAATACTCAAGCCTACTGTCTACCTTTAACAACTGTATAGTTGCCCCTTGCACAGTTATATAGCTGAGCACATAAAGATGTAGATACCAGCTGCTGAATTTTTACTACATTAAGTAGAGGTGATCATTACAGATATTGGCAGCAGCACGTAACTGGCAAGTTACAGCTGTCTTTGGTTGCACCTCCGTATTAATAACACTTGCAGGCTAATTCAGTTTGGTACTATTTGCATTACAGTGCATTTGCATTGGTCTGGAAGGGGTTTCAGGAGAATTGTACCTGCCACTAAAACAAGAAATCACGTGCCTCTCACGGGGCACAGCTTACAGCTTCAAAAGGGTGATGGCAAGGCGAAGATCACGCTCCTCTCTACTCAGACGCTAGAGAACGTGTTCCCACAAGGGTTTTTTGGTGCTGTCTCACTAATTTCATTGTTTGCTGCATAGTATGTTTCTTCCATAAAACCTGGAAAGTTAAACTTCTGCCGGTTACCACTGTCTACGCCTACTGTCTCAGCAAACAGAGCAGTTATGCATTCTCTCTGCCATACTTTAATGGTCTGTGTAATTGTATACATGCTTGAGAACTTCCTCTGGTCTTCTCAGGCTTTTGTTTAAACCACTCAAGGCTGTAAAGTACTGCCTATATTTCACAGGAAAGTTGATTTCAGGACAGTACACTTTAATCTGTTCTTGGCCCTGAGTACTGATTAGGCCCCAGGCAAAGAACAGAAATATGTTTCTTGGCTGCAAAATGAAGAAACCTGCATTTACTAAGAAAAAAAAATATTAAAATGTGTAATAAAGCACTCAGACTTTACATTTTCTGTGTATCAAGGCAACTGCCTTAAAGGCAGTTTCTGTTATCACAGCTGCCAGAGCTGTTCATTCTCTTGCTTCTCTGTGTGACTTCCCTAAAACCACAACTGCTCAAGACACCCCATGTTGAAGTGACCACTTTTCAGCAAATGCTACTGTCAATCACTGCAAGCCAGCCTAAAGGAAATGTAATTGTGATAACTGAGTATTTTTTGTGACTATAAAGGAAGTGAGTAGTTTAGTTTTCTTGCTCTCTGGAGAAGAGGTCTTTACTATGCCATTTTAATATCAAGTCCTGGAGCACTCATACAGTTTATGCACAAAAATGGGGTGATATTTTCCCTTTTAACACAGGGCCAAATCAGCCTGCCCATATTAACTTTTCATGACAGGATCTCTAAAAAAGGCCACTTCGTCCTTAAATTGTTTTGGACTTAATTTGGTGTTGTCATGCAATTAGGTTTTGCAAAATTGGTTTCTGGAGTGACAGCTTCTATTGTTACAGCATATGGCAATCAGAGAGCAGCTTGTGGCAGATGTGATGTTTATTCACCATTTGCTAGTTTTAGATTTAATGATGTCATTCTAATCAAAGCAAATGTTAGATGTGTTTGACATCTAAGGAGTTTCACAGCCCCCCCATCATGTTTAAGCTGCTTCTGTTAAGTGGAAACACGTCAGCTCTAAATGCATCTAAGTCATATTTAAGAACTAATGATGCAATTTACTGGAGGTCTGTATTCCAAAAATCCATGTTTCCAACATGCATTGTGTTCCTCCAGCAGACTACAAAGACCACCTATTACAATAAGTGAGCTCATTAAGCATGCAACTCCTCAGTCTTGCAAGCTGTTGCGATAAGCAGCTGTTGCAAGAGGGTAAAAGGTTGAATTATCAACTTGGACAGCACAGCACTTCATTCAGCCAGCCCGGGACAGTATTTGAGCAATAGCTCCATTACTGTGGAGTATACCTCTGACTACAGCACACAAGCAAAGCATCAGTGGTATTTCAGTGACATGCTTCCCCACCCAGCAAGCAAGACACTCCCAGAAATTAATTGTCAAAAATTTATTATGAAAGCTTCAATAGCAGCAAATATTTCAATAAAAGTTATTGCATTATTAAACCAGTTCTGCAGAGTGACCCAAGAGGCCTGTTGAAGTCTGTCTGCTTTGGAATCTCTGTATTTGTCTCAGTAACCAGTCCCCAGCAGTCCACCAAATATTGAAACTTTCTCCTGTGTGTTTTGCAGACAGCACCAACAGTTCCTAGTTCCAGAACTCTATCCAGTCCTTCTGGAAAGTTTTGGCCCACTTCCCCCAACTTTCTCTCTCCCTTCTGAAACAGCTCCACATGGCTGACAAACTTGCAATACTTCTTTCAGTTCCATGGTATGTCAGCCTCTCCATGGTTGCAGCCTACTGAGGCTCACTGGTGAGGTGAGCTGTTCTCTCTTTCTCCTCTGTAAGAGCCCACTGCATGCCAGTCTGAGGGACCTTAATCCAGTCTCTTGACCAGGCTAATCCATGGAATCAGCAGCTTGTTGCGCAGTTTGGTGAACCCACACCACGTTGAGAATGCAACAAAGGTTTCAGCCTCCCCAGTGCACCGGGTCACCATCACTCGGGCAGGGTGATGGTTGGCACCCAGTCATTGACATTTCGGCTCTCTTCACAAAACAAGTTCAGGTTTTCAAGAGCTGGGTCCTTCCAGCCTTCTTCACTCGGGTTCTGCCAGAAAGAAAAAAAGTTGCACACCATGAGTGCTGCCCGCTAGCTGAGGTCAGCATAATATTTACAGAAGCATTAGCTTAGGATGCCAGGCACTTCCAGACAGTTTCTGTCCTGACACAGACAAGGCAGGAAGCAGAGATGTTGCCCTTGTGGACAAGGGAGGAAACCCACAGTTACGAGAAGTGCTGCCTCCTCCTACTACTACTACTGCTCAGCTGACTGTCTGTGTGCCAAGCGCCCTTTCTGTGCCCAGAGGAGGACTCGACCACCAGCCGCGGGCGAAGGGGCCGCCCCGACAGGCTGCGGCCGTGCGGTGCCGAGCCCGGCAGCGGCGGGGGGACAGCGCTCGCCTCCCGCGGGACACCCACCGTGATGAGGATGCAGTGCAGGTCCCGCGGCTCCCCGGACTCCTCGCTGGGCCCCACGATGGCCGCCAGCTTGGCCACGTCGTTCACCCGCACGATGTCGATGTCGTTCTCGCAGCAGAAGGCTTGGATCAGAGTGAAGTGGATCTGCAGGGCGATGTCCCCCTCGTCCTCCTGGTCCGCGGCCAGCACGCAGAACGCGACGTTGTCAGGGTCGCTGTAAGAGAGAAGCGGCGTCTCGATGAGCCCCGCGGCCGGCGCCGGCCACCCCCGCCGCCCCGACTGAGCACATTCCCCCGGTCCCGCCGCCCT